TGACTAAAATATTCTTTGCAGGTTCAGTCGCTCCATTCCTCCACCTTCATGAGAAGGGCGTATTTGAAAGCAGTACAAAGAATGAAAGTGCATCCCGCAAAGAAAGTGTACGCGCTGCAAAGGCACCTCCTCTGCCTATCGCCCGCTCCTTCTCCCTTAATACCTCGCTGAGAATGACACTGTTGTTAGGGACGCTGTCGCAAAAACGACAATAGTTCTGGAAAGCCCTGGGCAAATGAAGCTGTTCCTTAGGTTACAGGAGTTACGAAATGTGTTTACTACAATACAGTTTCTGTCAACAGGTCATCATCATATGTATAACACCTTTCAATAGATTCTACAACTTGAGTGGAGGTCGGATGCATGGCCTAGACGAGATCGGACGATGACGATTGCCCCTTTTCTTATTGCTTATGTTGGAAAGAATGTATTCTAGACACATTTCGAGCGTTGCCAACGAATTACACTTGCAATGGTGAAGGGAGCGGATTTTTGAGCGGCCGAGAATCATCCTCGATAGATCCTCGACGCAAATATCTCCTCAACTAGAAATGTAGAAGGAAGCTAAACATACTGTTAGAAAGCGCAAACCTTCCGCTTTCCAAAACTGTCTTCGTTTTCAAGATCTTGCGAAATTAGAGAGATATTGCCTTTTAAGTGGCAAAAACTCGCATGAAAATTTCAGCATCCTCGACGCTCCCTCGACGGATTTTGAGAGACTATATCTCTTCGAATGGAAGGCTTTCATAGCAATTCCAATACTGCCTGATAGTAGCAAATCTAGCTCTATCTAACCCTACCGCGTGCTGTTCAAAAGGTTGGGAAATGGAGGAATGGAACCTTTTCATCGAGGGTGTAGATTTCGACGTTTTTTTTCGGGATTTCAGCAAATCTGACCCAGGGACAAATCGCGCCGCAGATGCCGTTAAATTCAACCGCAACCCGTGCCTTGAGGATTTCTGTGCATTTCTGAACGAACCTGCCTTTGAGGTCACACAAAGTTAATGCCTCTTTCCTCGAGTCGATATTTCAGTAAATACACAAAAGTGTGCAGCGATGAAAGAAGTGCATAGATGACAAGATGAAGGCGTTTATAACATTATTTTGCAGGATTTTTTTGATTAATTAATTGCGTATGCTCTGTTTTAGGGGGTCGTGCCAGGATCTCGATTTCAGGGGGGTCGTACTTCTGCGACCACGTCCTCGACACGATTTTCACCCTGACTTGGAGGAGAACCGTGCGCTCGACATAGAGCGACGTACAGGGCAAGCGCGGCTCCCATATTCTCGCGATGAACAGATCGATGCTCTTTAAACTGCTGATCTCAGTATGTACCTAGGACCTCACCTTTCTAATGGACCAAATTTGATCTCCCCTCCTCCTCGAGGATTTTTTGACTCAACGCACGTTTGACCGTACATCGGTGTCCGTGAAGTGATCCTGCCTCGTCTATGAACACTTCTTTTGAGGCAGTGATTACACTTCCTGAAGGGCGGTGCGATCTCGGACGTCGTTGAGCGTCATGGGCGGAAGCGGGTTAAGGGGCGGTACCCAACCACAGCTCTACCGCGATGAGAAGTCTGGTCTACCGATCAAATTGAATGGCATCATCAAAACGCACCACCCTCCAACCATCGTGATCACTGCCTTTATTCGCGTGCAACGCTGCAAGGCAGGGTAAGGACGATTGCGTCTAAGACGAACACGTAACATGGTTAGCAATCGTATGCACGTGCAGCCGCAATTGGACTACCACTTTAGATATCTAGGCTGAATGTGAACTAAATTTACAAACCAGTATGGAGCTGCAGAGCATCCACCAAGCCGATGTTGTCCTGTAGTGTGTGGCAATACGTGTGAAGCATGTGTATCAGAGAGAACACTTCTTTTCTTCGTTCACTAACACATAGCTGGGAATTGACAATTATGTATCAATGAAAATCGGTTATTATTAATTTTGATTAGTGTGGAGGAAGTTGGAGCATACCGTTTTTTCAGGTTTATACAGCATTGCCAATTGTAAAATTTCGTCGAACTCCACCGGCAGTCGTCTCTTGTCCCTAAATTAAACTCATCGCAGATCTTCAAGCAGGGTCAACCCTACGTTGGACAAGTACCAACGGGGGGGGGTCGTAGTTTGTTGAGTTTGTGGTGGGGGGTCGTACTTGTTTCGGTAGCACGAAATTACATGTGATGAGGTGAGAGCGCGCGGGAGAAAATTTGCCGTTTCAGCGTGCGTATATACCACCTTCCCGCTAGACGGTGTTTTTTAGGGGGAACAAGTTGTGAAGAAGGGGTTCAGCAACCGTAATCTGAGTCGGTGAAGGAAAGGTCGTAAGAAATTTCGCCAAGTCCCAACGATGACCCGACGCTGCTTCCAGTACATAAAGCCTAACGCCGATGCGAAGACAAAAACACGGAGTGCGCAGGCCAAGCTAACCAGCTATTATCATTCAAATGAGTTAGAAAGCGAGCGTGGGGAGAGGGGGAAGCATGTTGGCCCAAACTGAAGAAGGGTACTGCAGCACTCACTTTCAAGCAGGGTCAACCCTACGTTGCGCAAAGAACAACGAGGGGGTAGCATTTTGCCGAACGAAAGGGGGGACGCATACAGAGGGACCAGGGGGTGAAGCATAAACTCAATAGTAATCATATTTCAGGCTTGGCTGTTTCGTACCGATCTCCCTGCATGAATTACTACATCGTGAAAAAATCTTTCTGTCTTCAGCACACTTCTATTTAGACCTAGCTTAATTATGAAAAAAGGTGGTATAGGTGCCAAACTTAGCAAGTCACCAATTTCCAGCGTATCGATTGAAATTCAACTGTGTAGAGCAGTTCATGGGAAAGTAAAACAACCATCAAACCATAAAACACACAATGGTACCGCAAAACATACAATGCAATTCGATCATGTACTATCACCTTCTTCGGGAAAGTGGAGGACCTTCAAATGCGAGTGCGACTTCCACCCACAGACAGGTGCACGGCGTATACCCGAGCAGGCGTTTTCCCCATAAAAACGCCTTCTCTGTGAGCGGCCGTAAGCAGACAAACTTCCTCAAGAAAATTTTGATGCTTTTAAATCAAATCTAAGCGGAACAAAATGTAGCGAACTTGCTGAATTGAATTTCAAAGACCCCTTATGAAATTGAAGCAGAAGAAAGAATTCCATGAAAAGTTAACGCTAGTAATAAAGTACTCTTCGCGTAGATTCTAACGGTCTTTACCGCTTCTCATTTTATGAAGTTTGAAGGAAGTTATGGGTTCTTGAATATTGCAATGTCGCGGTTCAGAAGAAAGGCTTGAAAAAAAGTCTATGAAAAAAACGGAACGACGGGACTATTTTTTGAACGAGTGATTTTTTCAAAAAAGTTTCAGCCCTTATTCGAAAGCTCTAATCTTCTAGTTTCTAATTAGCCTTAGACATTCGCAAAAAGTTGAATACGAAGAAAGTTATAAATGCTTTAATGTCGGAAACTCGCGCTTTCTCAAAAATCGGACCCCAAACCCCCCAAGAACGGAACAACGGGACTATTTTTTGAAAAAATGATCGCTGGAAAATTTTCAGGTGCTTGTTCGAAAGCTCTAATCTTCTAGTTTCTAATTAGCCTTAGACATTTGCAAAAAGTTGATTATGAAGAAAGTTATGAATGTTTGAATGTCAAAAACTCGCGTGTGCACAAAAAACGGAACAACGGGACGATTTTTTGAAATATTGAACATCCGCAACATTTCAAATGCTTTTTTGAAAGAAAACTATTTGAATTTTAAAATTTTGGTGTCCGGTTCCATGAGAGCGCCGACGAACGAAGATATAAGTTTTCAAATAAGGACGTAAATTACTACTGCATATCCAGTTTTCCGGCTTATACAAAAAGGAGAAGGAAAAGGAGAAACGGGAACCAAGACTCGAGGGATCGAGAAAATGAAAACCAAGCCTCACTTCTGCCTGATTCGAACTCCAACCTACCCATGATCGAGCTTTAAATGAAACAATGATCTCTTTCGTTCGAAAATTCGGAAGTTTTTCGATTTCCTCCATGAAATGGAGGATAAAATATGGCGTGTGAAGAAAATATTGTGTTATTTTCGGGATTTCTTCAGGAATAAAGAGAAGAAGCCATGTACACACTTCAACTTTATTGGACAAAGACGTTGATACACACAGAAATACACCGTAACACTAAAAAACACACATGTCCAATAGGGGGGTCGCACTGACACCCCTTGAAATGGAGGGGGTCGCAAAAAATTTGGAATTTGCGCAACGCAGGGTTGACCCTGCTTTCAAGTGGGAGTAGGGCTTGATTGTTCACCCTTCAGTAATGGACCAGAGCAGGGGCGTTACAGTGGCCCACTTACAAGAAAAACTTCTAATGTTATGCAAAAGGGAACAAGTCCTCCCCCATATCACTAACTAAGCTCGTAATCGTGAAACTGTCCCAAAAACGCTATAGTGAGTTCAGCAACCGTAATCTCCACTAAGAAGTTCTTGAGAGAAAGTATAAACTGTCAACCAAAAACAACAACCTTCGACCACCACAAGTACGACAGACTGACTCACTGATCGTCGTTTGAATAGGCGTGGTACTCCAAAAAGCACTTACCATCGATAGTAATAAACCTTCAGAGAACGCTTTTCCACAGGTTTTCCTTTGGGTTTCTTCTCAACATCGTACGCATATTCCATTGTGCACGGGGCCATCTTTTTAAAACGTGTCAACGTAAACGAGTATGTTGTGCCGAGGTCTAAATGCAGCTGTTGAAATTCCAACTCATGTTATCAAGTTGGGAGAATTCTTGGTTTCTTATGCCTTACTAATATGGAAAAGCACTGTCATTACACACAATGGAAGCCATAGCGCCGAGATTAGATCATAATGATGACCAACCACGATCCATTCAGATGCATTCGAGCTATTCGAAGAAGGAGAGGGTCGTATTTGCATCTGACAAAGGCTTAAAAATTTTTAAAGAGTGCGAAATTTGTACTTCTGGAGGTTGAAAGAATCGCGGGAGAGGAGGAGTCGTTTAAGACGGGATTTCAATAACCGTGGCGAAAACTTCGGAAAAGGAGCGTGAAGTGGCCTAATTATAGTGTTTGCCGCTTCCATAGTCATATTCACCTTCTCCAGCCCCCACCCCCACTCACTCACATCCCTTCGACGGCCATTCCGAAGGAAGAAATCGGCGGGTTGGAGCACGTCGACTGGTCTAACAAGGGAGGTCTTTCAGGACATGGAGCGCTTTTCAAAATGATTTCCTGCACTTTGTAGACTCATGCGAGGAACACAAAACCATGGTCCGTTTTTCCTGAACGCTTCTAGGAAGGTCAGAATAGATGGTCCAAAGTTCGATCCTCCGTGATGTCTAATTTTTGCAATTTATGTTGGCGCCTCCAAATTGTGTCCAAATGGCACCAGCGTCGATTAACATGTCATCCTCGTAATTTGGCGACAATTTGGAGGCTCCAACATGGATTGCAAAAATTTGTCACCACGGCGGATTGAACTTTGGACCATTTCTTCACCACTGTTTTGAGGTTCCCAGAAGTGTTCAGGAAAAATGGACCATGGTTTTGTGTTCCTCGCATGAGTCTCTACAAAGTGCAATCATTTTGGAAAAGCGCTCCATGACCTGAAAGACCCTCCTTGTAAGAATGAAATATTGTCATAGAAATGGCCAAGATGGTGCTCGGATTGGGGGAGGGGAGATCGGGGGACCTCTTAAGGCTGGTGGTGGTAGATCCCCCGGGGGCTAAAATTTTCGATCCTGATCCTGTGATGGCTCATCCTCCTTGCTCGCTCCCTCGCCCTTCCTCCGGTATACGCCACGTGGGTTACCCCCCAGGAGGCCCGTCGCGCGGCAAGAAGGCAGAGTCGGCGGACGAGTTGCAGCGCGTGGTGTGCGATGTAGGACGTGCAGTGGGACACTCTATTTAACTTGACGCGCGCGACTCGTCCGCTGACTTTGCCTTCTTGCCGCGCGACGGGCCTCCTGGGGGGTACCCCGCTACGTGTTGTGAATACGCGCTATCGTGACTCGGTTGTAACCCAGTTCCGATCACAGTGAGCCTGTGAAGGGTTGACAGCGCGTTGACGCTAGAGGGGATCGCTTTTTTCTAACAAGAAGGAGTCATGTTTTGCTAGGGAGAGCGCTTCTATTGAAATTGGCAGCTGATTTGCAGATAAGTCTTCGTTTAGAACTTGGCCAGAGTTCAAAGTTTCCTGCTAGGAAATTCAGAACTATTTTGAAAATTCCACAACTTCCATTTCCATTTTCTTTGAGCTATGATAGGAATTTGTAATGAAATTGCTATAAATCCCGCTGAAATGCTCGACACACTTTTAAGAGAGTAGCACATAGGTAGTTGGTCGGCAGAGGTAGTGCCTTGAGAAAAAGGACAAGTAGGGTCACACCTCGGGACATAAATTTCGATGCTCCGTCCTCTCCTGGTCTCAACGCGATGCCCTCAAGCGTGAGTATGACCTAAGGCCGAATATGTAGATACATACACTTATAAGTATGTTGCTTTTTGACTTCATGAGGGAGATGAGGCAAAACACAGGATGGATTTCGCTCGGATCCAATCATGATAATCACGTCCTTCGATAGCATCGATTTCACGCGCTCAGACAATAAGAAGTTGTCCGTGTCCGACACATGAGCATTCTGAAACAATTTAGAGCTGCCAACACCAGAGATTCATCGCAGCTGAACTCCTCTTAGTGCTCCCGAATAATCTTTCCTTGCAGATAAAACGTTACCGAAGATATAAGCTGGGACCGGCTGGGGCTTTCATCCGTAATGCAACCACTTACGCAGCATTGTCTGCGCCTCAATCGAAGCTGCCATCTCTGATCTGGTCTCTCTCTTCAACGCCCAGTTTCTCTCTGGTATAATCCTAACCCAACTATCAGAAAGAAGGCCCTCAAAGGAAGCGATCACGCTGGCTCCAACGTGGATCTGCTACCCCTTCCAAATCGAT